CTAAGCTTTCTGGGCCGACGCATAACCCAAGGCACATGTCTCCTCGTGTCAGCGTCTGTAATATTTGCCAACATTTTTGTTCCTAAAGGTAAGACAATGATGATGTCTTTATTATAATGCCCCATCATCCACCTAATGCGAATACACTGACTTTCTAAACTGTAAATAAATGACTGCTTCTATAGAGTAGACAAAATAATAATGTAAATATAAGTACAAAAAGAAATCATTCTTTCCCAAGTAAGAAGATTTGCCAAAAAGTACTGTTAAATGTCATATGTCATGTGACAACACAAGCCTCTCTCCAATATAACGCACATCTTTCAATCATTTATACTAACTGGTAATGAAGCTGTGTCGTTGCAGATATGCAGATCACAAGGACAGCGCTCGCCGTTCTCGGAAAGGGCTTCACGTCAGCATCCTTTACTTGTATCTATCTATTTACTGGAGAGCTTTACCCTACTGTCATCAGGTCAGATTAAACAAACTATAGAAGACAAACTTGATAGAATCTGTCTGAAGCAGCCAAAGGTGATTGTTTTGTTTTAATCATTAAGCTGTTAGGCAACTATCATCAAAAAAGTGCCATGTTATTAGTATGTGTCTTATTGCATCACATACCATGGTATATGAATATAGTAGGCTAATCATTTAGATATTACAATCTGATACCATTACTGTAGCGCTGACTGTACAGTACATGGATATTATAGTCCTAAATATTAGTGCCACGGTATAGTAAATGTATATCTGCAAAGCAGCAATTACAGGGCCAAGCACACCACTGGCAAAACTTATGATTAAATATAGCATTCTGATGATGATTCATGCAAAGTGGTTATTAAAAAAAATCAACTTTTGACTAATTGATATGGTATTTTCAGGTGATGGTTATGGCACCTATGAATGGTTCAGGAGCTTTAAAAAGTAAGCTTTCATTAATTCATAATGGTGGACAGGCATTATGGTATACTGTACAGGGCATTTCCCAACAAATCTAAGACCAGTCCCATGAAAATATATGAACAATACATTTGGTAATAAATTTTGGTTGTCCAAAAAGAGGCTCTGGATTACAGGTAATCATGTTGTCAATAATGTTCAGTTTCTTGCACAGACTGATCGTTTCACTTCATAAGACCTCAATATATCGTCAGGAGCCATGGGTATTAATTTTGGTTTCCTTGATGTTTTTTTTTTTGAGTCTCAAAGTGCCAGTAGCCACTGACTTGCGTTTTATGAATCACCAAGGACCATGGTTTCAAATCTGCTTTTCTGTTATACTGAATAAAAAAGTCACCTACATCTCGGATGGCCTGACTTAACAGCAATTAAAAGGATAGTTCACCCAAAAATGAAAATTACCCCATGATTTACTGACCCTCAAGCCATCCTAGGTGTGTATGACTTTCTTCTTTAAGACGAATACAATCGGAGTTATATTTAAAAACGTCCTGGCTCTTCCAAGCTTTATAATGGCAGTGAATGGGTGTTAATATTCAATAGTCCAATAGAAGTCCACTTTATTGGACTTCAATAAAGTGCATCCATCCATCATAAAAAGTGCTCCACATGGCTCCGGGGGGGTGAATAAATGCCTCCTGAAGCAAAGCGATGCATTTGTGTAAAAAAATATCCATATTTAAAACTTTATAAACCATGATCTCTAGTTTCCGCTAACTGCCGTACGCACTTTCACGAGAGAGTGGTGTTCCAGCGGATGACGTAGCACGTAGCATAAGCTCCGATGAGAATATGCTAGTCTCGCGAGAACCAAGTTTTGTTTACAGCAAAGGAAAACCAGTCTCCTCTTGGCTTCTATCGAAATCCTCTGACATTTTTCTTTACAAATCCTCGTTTTGTACTTCTAATTCATGACTTGTGTTGTGTTTTAGTCTCTCCTCTGCATTTCCGCGTTCGTCACTTCTCACTGGAGCTTATGCTACGCCTTACGTCATCAGCCGGAACATTGTCCTCAAGTTGTTCCACCTGTATGAGTGTTTCTTCTGTTGAACACAAAAGAAGATACTTTGAAGAATGTTGCTAACCAAACTGGTTGCTGGTAGCCATTGACTTCCATAGTATGGAAAAAAAATGCAGTGGAAGTCTTTGGAAACCAGAAACTATTTAATTATCATCATTCTTCAAACTATCTTCTTTTGTGTTCAACAGAATAAAGAAACTCAACTTGGAAAAACATTGTTCATATACTTTATGACACCTAATTCATTAACTAATATCAATACATAGAATCTTATTATAAAGTGGTACCAGAAATAAAACATAAACAGAGGGAGGAAGACATGTTACTGTACATGGTAGCTTAATATGTTTAATGATAATACAAAAATCACCAAGCGGCACCATCCATTAGAGATATTGTACTTTGCATAAGTAGAGAATAGCAATGTTCGCTTTTACATGAATAGGGTTAGAGTTTACATGTTTGATCCACAGGCAGACCGGCATGGGCTTTGTCTCCACGATGGCCAGAATCGGATCCATGGCCGCTCCTGCAGTCCTGATCTTGGATGAGATCCTGCCGGCTCTGCCTAGCATTGTATATGGAGGATCCGCTGTGCTCGCTGGTTTCATAGCCTTTTTGCTTCCAGAAACCCTCGACATTCCTCTGCCTGATACCATTGAGGATGTAGAGGAGAAAAGGTCAAGTCTCAGAGCTGTTCACATGCTATCTGTATCCATGATGAATCACTGTGATTGGCTTTCTGTTTCACCATCGGTTTCATTATACACTCTACTGTACATTTCACTCATACAGGGAAAAGAAAAGTCAAAGTCTTAAAGAACAGACACAGTGTGAGTCGCTGACCTTACAGGAGATCAAACAGAGTGGAGGAACATGTGAAGAGAGCAAGTCCTCTGGGCTTCATCCACTGTCAGAGACTTCAGTTCACCTAAAGTAATAATTATTACACACTGAGACAAACATTCAAGCATCGTCGATGCTTGTTGTCTCAGTCTAGACCAACAAAACTGGACAGATGAATTAGTTTCTTCATCAGATTTGGAGAAATGTAGCATTGCATCAGTGTCTCAGCAATGGATGCTCTGCAGTGAATGGGTGCCGTCAGAATGAGAGTCCAAACAGCTGATAAAAACATCACAATAATCCACAAGTAATCCACAGCACTCCAGTCCATCAGTTAACATCCAGAGAAGACAAAAGCTGAAACTAATCCAGCATTAAGACGTTTTAACTGTAAACCTTTGCTTCTGGATAAAATATCATAATCCATAATAACGCTTCCTCCAGTGAAAAAGTCCATCTCCTGTTGTCCTCTCACATCAAAATCCAGCCACATATTTGTTTAGAGATGTTTTGGCTTGTATCTGCATGATCTGTGCAGATTTCTCTCCTGATTCAGACAAGATGACTGTTTCACTGGAGGAAGCATTATTATGGATTATGGACTCATATTTTAGCCGGAAGCAGCTAAAAGTTAAAAACATTTTAATGATGGATTTGTCCAAATCTGATGAAGAAACAAACTCATCTGCATCTTGCATGGCCTGAGGGGGAGTAAACGTTCAGCAAATGTTCATTTTTGGGTGACCTATTCTTTTAATCTCCAAGAGTGTAGTCTATATGACACATGCAGTGTGAGAAACAGACTGAAATTTACGTCCTCATTCACCTGATAATCTTGAATTTTTTTCTCACTAGGAATTTAATGCATGATTGCAGGGATTGATTTTGTTTAAATGTTTCAATGCAGAGCATTAGAAGATCTTTATGTTATTATACAGTATATAATGCAATTATGATCATTTATGTATGATTATTTAAACCGCCAGTAATGAAGGTTCTTAATAATGTAAAACTTGAATTTATTGCATCTGATTTTATTGTAATTTTTTTTTTATTGTATCCAAAATGCAACAAAATGTTAAATTTACAAGTTTATTTAATTAATATTCACTAATGCATTAGCTATCATAAACCTGACAATTCTTTACAGCATTTAATATGTAAGTGTTGATTTATACCATTGATTATTATTAATTCATGCTCGTTAATTATACATTAACTAGAATTAATTTGTTAAAAATGTAGGTAACACTTTAGAACAGGGAACACTTATTCACTATTAACTATGTCTTTTCCCTCAATAAACTCCTAATTTGCTGATTATTAATAGTTAGTAGTTGTTAAGTTTAGGTATTGGGGATGTAGAATAAGGTCATATAGAATAAGGCATTAATATGTGCTTAATTAGTACTAATAAATGGATAATAATCTAGTAATATGCATGCTAATAAGCAACTAGTTAAGAGACCCTAAAATAAAGTGTTACCAATTTATTAGTAAATGTAGAATTTAATTGTTTAAAATACTGTTTATTGTGAGTTCATGGCACCCAATGCATTAGATAAACCATGTTCAACATTTTACACATTGTAATCAAAACATTCAATTACAAAACAGACTATTTCAAAACAATCAAAACACTACTTACGTTTTCCCTGTTTGCTTTTACTGGACTCACAAAACTTGAAACACCAACTTTAAACCAACACAGCTGTGAAAGTGACTAACACGACTGAAATGAAATGATTGATGGTGGTGGTTGTTATTTCTCGGTAAATTAAGTTGCAGAATCCTTAGCTGTGTGTGAGAGAGAGCTTATGGAAAAAGAGATGAGGGCTGATAAAAGAAAAATGATTTGCTAATGTTTTAAGTTGTAACAGCACCACTCTTTGCCCTTGACATGAATTTACAGCTTTTAGATAAATTACAGATTTCAATATATATATACAGTATATATATATATTGCATTTTATATATAAGTTATAAAAAGCAAGTGTTATCCTCCACTATAGCAGAGGATTTTTAGAGCGATTGGGCTCTTTACATGTCCCTATGAGCTGTTCAGCTTTCATTTTACCGGTAGGATGGGCCAATGTCATTCAGGTCTTGTCTAGTAGGTTTAAGTTCACCTGATTAACCCAACCCATAGTATGTGCGCGTGCTAGTGGAGAAACCGGTAAGACTAAACACGCCACCTCGTCTTCATTCTTCAGGAAGAACATCACCAAGGTGAGATCCATAGTCTTTCATATGGATATGCTATTTATATTAGTCGCTATTTTATTTTATTTTGACTGTCTTTCATACACTGAATGAAAACATGAATACAAACGGTTATTTTATGAGCCAAAAGAGTCCAATAGTTTACTATAGTTTAGTATGCAGCCAACTATATACTATGGAGGATTATTAGGATTACAGTAGGAGCACAATGAAGTCTATACAGACCAAACCTGGAAAAGTCCAGATGAATTAGACTATCGGTGGCGTAGTGGTTTTTGGTTATAAATCATGTGTCGTATAAACAAGTGTTTATATCCCCAGAGTCCTAAATGCATACTGTAGTCTAGAGATCCCATGTATGAGGAAGCTTGTATGTGTCGTTTAAACAAAAGGGGGCGCTATAGCAGTGACAAAATTTCACTATAAAATGATAAACTTACAGTATGAACTTAAAAACTAAATGGGCGATTTGTGATTGTATTGCTTTCGATTCGAATTGTTGCTTGTAGCATATTTTATTTGTATTTTCTATTAAGGTGCAGTTTACAGTGGGTATAACATGATTTACATTTAATTGCATCACATTAAACATTGACATCATTTTACATTGACCTTGAAATATATAAAATGCGTAACTGAGAATATTCTCAAATATTTGCCACTCATAATCACTAAATATGAAATCTCAAACAATGGAGGGCATTTAGAGGTACACTATTCATAAGTAAAACTACATTAAATAATGGGGTGAAAACACGGGAGAACAATGATCTAGCTGGAGTTTATCAGAAAACTAGATGCCTACACTGAACAAGTCTTAGTTTCTCTGTAGTAAAGTGTAGAAAGTGCATTGTGACAAATGCATGGAGATTAGGACAGAAACATCACAGAGGAATCTACACCTTCATGCACTCTTCAAAAACTCTTACTAATAGTCCCTCATCTCATCTCAATTGTTGCCAAAGGGTTAGGCTGTGAATGAACGTCTAATGAACATGGATGGATGGTTTTCCCTTTTGAGTGTAAATGTCACATTGTGGTGATGAGTGGAAATAATTGCCTGCTAAATACGTCATGTTTCTATGCAATTCAAAGGCAGTGAATTCTGGTTAATCTTGATTTTTACATTCTTGCCGTTTCTAACATAACTCATGCATTATACTTATTTGCTGCAGATGTCTGTGTCTGATCCCCCTGATATCATACCTGTGCCGAAGCCTCGCTCGAGATATTTACGTGGAGTAGGTGTAGGTGAAAGGTGAGCACATGCTGTGCATCTATTGTCTGATTTAATCACAAAACAAGAAGCCTTCGCTGATACAATACAGACAGACATTTAAAGCAACAAAAGATTTTCTAACAGGAGTTGGTTACTGGATTCCATCTAATATGAACACTGAAATGAAATGAAAAACACTGTTTCAACATTGTACTCAATACACTTACTATGCTCAAATATCTTACAGAAATGGTCTGTTGCCTTGTCCAGATGTTAAGGCTGATACACAGACGAAATCTGAAGGTACTTTTACTATGTCTTCTTTGCAAAAAATATTAATATTAGTAATATATTTATCCATGTATCTGTCATGTTGACCCAGAATACAGTACCTTAAAGTATTATTTCTCTTTCATGTGGAAATGTGATAATATAATGTGTAAAGCGAGTATAGGAAGTCAGCATCCCTTTCAAAATATTCACATTTTTTGTGTCCCAATAAAAGTTTGAAATGAGAAACACATAAAAGTCTGCTTTTACGCATATAAAACCAAGTGGGGAAATAAATGAACAATTCTGGAATTTAAATATAAAGCCATAAAATACAATATTTACATTTGCATTCATTCATTTAGCAAACACTTTTATCCAAATAAGGGACATTTCAAGCAATTTATTATAAGAGCTAACATTATTTGTAATACACAATGCAAAGTGTAAGTTAGATTAGCACACAACCTAGAAATTAAATGCAAAACATTAGCGAAATATAGAGAAATTATAGAAGTGGCGTTTTATGGCTGTGTATTAGTTAACTAGTTTGTTATTTGGATAAGTAAAAGGAATCACCTACATCCTATTGTGCACCAAGACTTTGCAATATTTGACTATATTTAACATCTTAGTTAAATTGCATGGTGATCACGGACTGCATTATTCGATTATTGATAGAATTGAAGCCTGATAGTCCATTTAAGGACATTGATCGTGTCCTTTAGTCACTGTGTGATTGCTTTAGTGGTATGCTTAGGGTTATTGTCATATTAAAACATAAGGCAGAAGGCATTTACATCGAGCTAAAACAAGACCTTTTTTGCCACTCTCAAATAGAGTTGAGATTTGTGGAGCACTTAAAATACAGTATGAATAAAAATGCTCACGGTAAGGTGGGTGTTCACTTACACAAACAAGGTATTTTAGTTTCGTTTTTAGTATTTTTTCCCCCTTTCACTTCTATAGTGTGTGTTATGTGTACAAATAAAGTCAGAAAAACTTGTTCTGCACTTTTGTTTCATTTCAGACTATAAGGCAATAAAAAGTATAAAGATTTCAGTTCATATTCAGATAGTGACCACTATCGATATACTATATTGATGTATGAACAAGACCTTTTTTGCCACTCTCAAATAGAGTTGAGATTTGTGGAGCACTTCAAATACAGTATGAATAAAAATGCTCACGGTAAGGTGGGTGTTCACTTACACAAACAAGGTATTTTAGTTTCATTTTTAGTATTTTTTCCCCCTTTTACTTCTATAGTGTGTGTTATGTGTACAAATAAAGTCAGAAAAACTTGTTCTGCACTTTTGTTTCATTTCAGACTATAAGGCAATAAAAAGTATAAAGATTTCAGTTCATATTCAGATAGTGACCACTATCGATATACTATACTGATGTATGAAAAATAACGAAACAATCAGCCACAAATGAAAATGCATATTTAATATATTTTTAAAAATAGTACTTATTACAGAAATAATATACTTAATATATACTTACGTGCTGAATGTAATGTTTTTCAGACACTTAACTGCATGTTATTTACAATGAAATTAAACTGCTTAGTTAAAATTAAGAGTGCTTAAGTATATCTTTATATGTAATTGCATAACAACTTCTGTTCTTTTTGAAATATGGTTAAAGTGTGCTGTTGAATGCACTGACAAGCATTCATGATAAACCGAAGTATACTTTAATGTAATTTCTATAGAAACCTTTAATGCATGCATTTAAATATTTTAAATTACACATTTGTAATGAAGTTTAACTTTAAGTGTAATATCGAATAACATACTACAGTTGAAATTATAATCAAGTACTTTACATGTGCTTTAGTCAACGCATCAAAATAAGTGTACTTCTTTAGAGCATGACAAAAGATTATTAAAAAAATAATTTAAGTTTATTTGTACAACTTTTAATTTGATATTATTACAAAGTGCAGTTTTTAAGTGTACTCTCTTTATACACCTAAGTGGCCTCTTATTCATTAATATCATATGATCTGAAAATGCTTTTTTTTTTAAATATACTTTTAAAACTTGAAGACACCAAAAGCACACATTCAATACAATTAAGCACACTTTTTTTGCATTCAGTGTAGTTGACCGGGTGCTATGGAGCTTATATATTAAATATATACAACAAATATATAAAACACCACTGAAATGTGTAAAAGTTATCAATATGACTCCTCTTCTCAACCCATACAGTGGAAGGAAATTAAAGCCAGCATTCATTATTAATTATGAATTGTGCTTCAAGATGCATCTTGCCAGATTTGCACATTAATGTGTGAGATGACAGAAGTTTTATATTTGGGTGAACTGTTCTTTTTAATTATAGTTTGGGTGTCTGTCGCTTTGTCTTAAAAGGACATCTGCTGCTCACAACCACAAAAAGACACACCCTTACAAAAGATGATGACTGCTGTTTTTCTCAGTAGAAACTGACATCAAGCATGAAGTTAGTGTGGACGGTTCATCTAGACAGCTGCGTTCCACCTCTGAACTCCCTGATCCTCAAGATGTTAAAACCAGCTGCAGTGAAACGCTTCCATGGCCAGAATCTCTCTGCATTAGTACCAGTTCATCTCCGGATGCAGCAAGAGCTGCTGATGTAGTGTCTTCTGATGATTGCCCTGCGACTCCAGACTCGCTCAGTAATGACCAGCACGATTCAGACAAAGCAAGGTAATGCATCGGTACTGTTTCTCTCTCAACTGTGATTTCATTTTGCATGTTTCTTGGCCAAACCTGTTAGGCTTTGGTCACTGCTGTGTTTATATTCTTCCTTGTAGTTTCACAGATCAGGTGATGGATGTTCGGACAGAAATTTGCACCAATGGAGAGATCCAGCAAGTTCCTAAATCACAGGATCTTCAGAACAAAGCTGACAGACCCAATAAACCACGGTACAATATGATTACATCTCAGAAAATGATCATGTCTCATATGATTAAAATGTCATGTGCCGAGGTCATAGTTCACATTTTTAGCATTGTGACAATAAAAGAATAGTTCCCCCAAAAATTAAAATTTGCTGAAAATTTGAACTCGTACTCAGGCCATCCAAGATGTAGATGAGTTTGTTTCTTCATCAGATTTGGAGAAATGTAGCATTGCATCAGTGTCTCAGCAATGGATGCTCTGCAGTGAATGGGTGCCGTCAAAATGAGAGTCCAAACAGCTGATAAAAACAACACAATAATCCACACCACTCCAGTCCATCAGTTAACATCTGGAGAAGACAAAAGCTGTGTGTTTCTAAGAAACAAATCCATTTAAATATTTTTAACTTCAAACTGTTGCTTCCGGCTGAAATAAGAGTCTGAATCAGGAGCGAAATCTGCACAGATCAAGCACCGTTTACAAGCCAAAACAGCTCTAATTCAGTATGTGGGTTAGATTTTGATGTAAGAGGATGGATTTGTTTCTTACAAACACACATTTTCACTTACCAAGATGGACTGGAGTGGTGTGGATTACTGTGATGTTTTTATCAGCTGTTTGGACTCTCATTCTGACGGCACCCATTCACTGCAGAGCATCCATTGCTGAGACACTGATGCAATGCTACATTTCTACAAACCTGATGAAGAAACAAACTCACCTACATCTCGGATGGCCTGGGGACATGTAACAAATTGCATAGTCACTGGCAAAGTCTTAAAATATCTTGAATTCTTGGGCTGCAGGGCTGCAACCATTCGTGTGAGCAGGAAGAAGCAGACGTTATCAGGGCAGCGCCAGAGAGCCGACGTGTCTCACAGTGAGTGTGCGGTGGCACAATCCAGCTGGCTCGACGTATGGAAGGGACGCAAGTAACTAACGCTACACAATCCCTGAAATCACATAAAAACTTAAGAACTTCCTGCAGTATAGGCATTTAAAACGGCTAAATTAAATAATGCATTTCATGAAATATCATGAATGCTATATTATCAAGCATCTGTACATAAAATCTAAACAAATAAGGTGCCCTTTCACACCAAACACAGTGTGAAACAGTAATATGAAACACAGACCTATAGGCTTAATGAAATGGCTGAAATCACTGCGATTTTAAAATGTGCACTATGCACTGTCAAATAAACAGTTTTATTTCATAAAGTACATTTTAAATCATTATGTTTACTTATTTGTCATGCTTTAAAGAAATACGCTTATTGTGAAGTGTTGACAAAGCGCATGAAAAGTACTTGATTATAGGTTAACCGCAGTGTATTATTTGATATTACATTTAAATAAAGTATATTTTTGTTTATCATAAATGCAATACACTCGGCAGTACACTTTATTTCAAAGCAAAAAGAAGCAATTATGAAATTAAACGTAAAGATGTATTTAAGTCCTAATTAAGTACTCTTAAATTAAACTAATTTGTAATACATTTGTTTAATAACATGCAGTTAAGTGTTCGAAAACATTACATCCAGTTTGCACATATATGTAGAAGTAATATTGAAATTACATATAAAGATGCATTTAAGTCTCAATTAAGTGGGCCAAAAAAAAAATCAATAATCACTAATAAGTTAAACTAATTACATTTAATATAAATGTATATGATAATATGAACCATTAATTTAATTGCAAATAACATGCAATTAAGCATAGGAAAACCCTACACTGAAGTATATTTTTTAAAGGATATTATTTGTGCAAGTGTACGTCTTTTTCACGAGGGATATAATGCAAAGAATATGTAAGTGTAAAACTGTCTTGAAAGAATGATTGTTTCAGGTAAGTGTAAAAATGTACAGAATATGTACTGAAAAACTGATGGGGATAAATCGTATATCTCACACAAGGCGAAAGTGTCAATGCTTTAGGAATATTAATGCTAATCATGGGTTAGGCCCAGGGATTGAAATTAACTTTTTTACTCACCAGCCAATTTGGCTACTAAATTTTTAAGTTATCGGCCATTCATAACTTCTACCAGCCAAAAAAAAAACTAAATAAACCAACAGCTTGAGGCTGTCTACATGACAAAGCGACTTGCAAATCATTTTGTGTCGGTACTAAGGGTGTGCGATATTGACAAAAAATAATATCTCAATATTTTCTGGGATTTTATTGATAAAGATAATTAGACCATATTTTGCTGAGTGTGTTATTGTGGTGATATCTTAAGGATACCGTGGACAGCTGACTCCTAAAGTTTTTGATATTCTTCATATTCTGTGTGGTGGTCAGTTCACAGCAGTGATAGAAATTAATCTTTTTCAATAAGTTTAAATAGATTTTTACCTTTTATGGCCATTTTTATATAAAACCATTAATTTATTTAGAGTCAAATGCAATCAGTCAGTTATAATAATAATACATTTAAGCTGTTACTAAACAAATGCAATCAGTATCAACAAAATTAATCTTTGCAGAATTTGCATATGAAGGGGCATTTAGATGTATTTAATGCAGCTTAGAGGGACATGGGATGCTTTAACCTGCAGTTACAAATGCATAAATAATGTTTTGATATTTTAAACATGAAATGTTGAATAGTGATATTTAAATTATTTTAAAAATTAAAAGATACTTTAAATGTGAAATTAAATCCGCCAGTAAGTGGCAGCAAGTCACTGTTAGTGAGTCATTGCGAATGAACTGAATCATTTAAACGGTTGATTTTGCTCAGAGACGCAAAACAGCGCTGTGTTTGGAATGTTTTCTGTTGGCGAAATAACGCAAAAATAGCCAATATGGTGTCTAAAACATAAGTCTCTCCGCCAAACTGGCTAGTGATTTGACAGCGTTACCCGCCACAGCTGATTTTTACCCGCATTTGGCGGGTTGGCGGGTGTTAATTTCAAACCCTGGTTAGGCCTATGGATCAAATAGTTTATTTTTTAATTAGAGTCATTTGGAGCCCTTGCTAAAATAAGGAGTAATACTCTTCAATGCTGGTTTTTAGTTTGAGTGCCAGACACATGATCCAAAGCTCACACACAAAATACAGTCGCCAAAAATAGCTTCACTTCAGTGTTCACGTCTGGTGTCGCTTCTAGTTCTATAGGAATTTATTGATTTTATTTAAAATCTTTGTGCTGAACATTCACATTTGGTGTGAAAGGGCCTTTAGGAGACCCATTATACTGTAAGACTGCAGGGAACAAACAGTAACAAGTACAAACTAAAGAAAAGGTTTATATTTGTGTTGAATTTGTATTTGTTTTGTAGGCACAATGTTCTGTGGGCCACTCTAGATGGACATGCCATGTCACTATGGAAAAAGCGCACAGTGAGTTGTTTCATAATGGCATGACATTTAATACAAATAAAGTATACATTGCAAATACTTATTTTGTAACCACATTTTCAATGTGCTCCAGGACAAATTCACAGAATATATTTTTCACGTAACAAGCATCACCAACATACGTGAGCAGGATCAAGGACGCTTCTCCATCCATTTTCAGAAGAAGCACTTTGAATTTATGGCTCACAATGAGGGTAGGAAACTGGAAACTCTCATTTCTTGAAGGAATTGTTCACCCAAAAATGAAAATTTGCTGTTAATTTACTCGCCCTCAGGCCATCCAAGATGTAGGTGACTTTTTTCTTCAGTATACAGTAAAGATGATTTTTAGCTGAAACTGGTCCTTGGTGATTCATAAAGTGCAAGTCAGCGGCTACCGGCACATGAGAGTCAAAAAAGCATTTCAGGCAGCACAAAATGAATCCCCGTGGCTCCTGACAATATATTGAGGTCTTATGAAGCAAAACAATCAGTCTGTGCAAGAAATTATTTGCAACATTAATTGCAACATGATTACCTGTAATCCAGAGCATCTGTCAGGTTATGCACACAGAATCCGAACGCAGGATGCTCAAAATATCTTTGACAAAAAAAATAAAAGGTAATACAAAAACTGGGTAAGACAAACCCAGAAAAACAGCCAGTAGGGCTGGGAAATAAAAGGCCCAAAGTAGGGAAAAACACAACGGGGGGGGGGGTCAGAAGATCCACAGACTAGACGGATTACAAGTAGAAAAAACAAACAAACCAGCACAAGACAAAGCACACAGGGAGAATAAATAGGGAAGGAAATTAGGAAGGTAACAAGGGAGGACAGGTGGGGTAATTGAACCAATAATCAGGGAACAAGAAGGGTGGAGTCAAGACTAAGAAAACAGTAGAGCACACAGAAAACAAAACAAAAAGCCATGTGCATAAGGCACATGCAAACAAACATGACCGAAGCCATGTGCTCACACAAACACATAAGACAAGACAAGACAGACGAGCACATGGCAAACAAATCTTCATCTACCGATGCGCTCAAACAGAACAAGAAACATGCAAGCACGGAGTATGGATGTCAGGACCCTAACACTGACACCAAACCAAAACTAGAACTAGAACTAAGTGTCAGGATCCACCAAGACAAAAGAGCGCACGGTCCACTCCAGAGAACACCCCCAAAGCCTCACATGAGTGTCAGGATCCTGTCACTAGACTAAGAATAAGACCAATGAAGGTGACGGTGTAATGGTCTGGGTGTCTGTCCCTTTAAGACTTTGATTCGGGGTTTCCTCTGCCCCTGCACTGGTGTGTATATGCTGGGGAAAAACACATTGTACTTTCTATCATTTGGTTGCACCTTCCTTTAACATTAATACATAGGTTGATGGTGACCTGCATCGTGTGTTTCGTTCTTCCATAACGCACAATAGGTTACAACGGGACCCTGACAGCCTCTGGCGAACGCGGAAGTCTTTTCCACAAACTGGTTCTTTCGGACAATTTCAATGAACTGGTTCAAACAACCGATTCACCAGTTTGTTTACTTAATCACACAGTGATGTCGCATATACACAATTATTTTATTAAAGCACCCAATAATTAGTTGGGTAGTGAGTTTTGATTGAGTAACTGCTTGAGCCGTGGACTGTTTCATATGATTCAGTCTGATATGGTGAACTGGTTTATCTAGTTCACTAAGAAGAACCAGTTCAAAAGCATGATTCATTTGTGAACCGGACATCACTTCGGACCGTTTGCCTGAGGCTCTGGATCACAGGTAATAATGTTGTAGATGATGTTCAGTTTCTTGCACAGACCGATTGTTTCGCTTCATAAGACTTCAGTATATCGTCAGGAGCCATGGGGATTCATTTTGTGTTGCCTGAAATGCTCTCATGTGATGGTAGCCATTGACTTGCATTTTATGAAGGACCACGATTTCAGCTGAAAATCTTCTTTACTTCTCTACTGAAGAAAGACAGTCACCTACATCTTGGATGGCTTGAGGGTGAATAAATTAACAGCTAATTTTCTTTTTTGGGTGAACTGTCCTTTTAAAGGTGCAGTATGTAATATTGACAGCTAGCAGTTGAAATGGGTACTGCAGTCCAAATTCCTCCTCTTCAGATTTGACGCTCATGTGAGTTGCCAGATGCAAAAAGGAATAAGCACAACTGACAATGTTAGCCAACGAGCCTTACAGTGTAATTTTATCTGCGGTTAAATATGCCTCTGCTCATAGAGCTTTATAAATGGATGCCGAGGCCTTTTAGGTCGAGTTGAATCAGCAATCTCTGACTCAATTTGTTTGCTGGCTTCAATGCCTGCAACACGCTGTGTTTTCCGCCGACTGGCAACCCGAGCTGTCGAAATACTATTGGGTAAACTGGCAGTGGGCGGAATCACACAGACCAAAACAAAAACAGACATTCCGACACGGAACACACATTTCAAAGCAGAAAAATTGGCTGTAGCGTTGTTTTTCTGAGAAACAAGTATGTGAACTTAGCATGTTTCCTAAATATCTGCAAATGTATTATGGTATTTTAATGCTTTAGTACAGTCATGCAGCAAATTACACGCAGCACCTTTAAAGCTGAGAGTTAGTATTTGGTTTATTTGAAGCATCAAGTCATCACTTTCAGCTCTGTCCTGTGATTGTGTTGTGTCGTAGCTGTGCGGCAGAGCTGGTTGATGTCTCTCTACGCCATGCGTGGAAGGGAACCGATCACTGCACCCAAACAACACGGACCGCTGATCATGAAAGACCCACGGAAAAAGGTGTACACTGCTATACGTGGATACTCCCTTTGGATTTACAGCAGCAAAGAGGTGTGAAAAACTGCTTACTAACGTGAACATTTCAAGAAGAATTCAAGAGATCAGAGATAAGCAGAGTTGTTAGGAACGCAGTTGGTTTTACAACGGTTACTAAGCCAGTTTGTGTGTTTGTATTGTTTGATTTTTACATCAAAAAATAATAATAATAGAAGTAAATAATAAATAATTTAGAAGTAACAGGCTATTGTCTGTCCTGTTTTTGACCCTCTCTTTGAAACACTCAGTTTTGGTGACAAGGAAGTTTTGAGTTCTGAAACGTACAGGTTGTTTTTATGGGACAATTACCTCTTACATGTCAAAAGATCAAGGGAAATTCGATTTTTCAGTTCATGACTCCTTGAACCCGAAACTATATTGTTTAATAGCATGAAGAAACAACTGACTGTTCAGAGTGTGTTCAAATGTTGTATATGTTTAACAAATGACCATGCATGTTTTTTCTGCTGGACTGTAGTGACAAGGAACGTTTGCAAATTGAACTTGTTTGAATTAACAGGACTTCAGCGTAGGTCTTGGCATGATGTGTGTGTCTATGAACATAGCATCTGTGAAGACGACGGGGCGTCACAGCTTCAGTCTCATTACTCCATACAGGACCTTCAAGTGAGTGTCTTCACTTCTCACCTTTTACAAGCAAGAAGTTTCTTATCTTACCACTAGGGATGAAATGGTTACCGGTTTGATGATACACCATGCTAAAAAGTCCCGACGGTTAGTATTACAGTTTATTCCGATTATCATTAAAACCATATTTGATTATCGCGATTTGAAACACCCGCGGTAAATCCTGCTCAGAGTATCACAGCATTTAAAAAAAAAAAAAAAGAAAAACAGAAAAAGAAAGAAAAACAGCATTGGTGTTTATGAAAGTTTCTAAAATGGATTTGAGGCTTGTCAGAAACAAATTTGCAGGCGCAGCAACATGTAAAAATATGACTGAAGACAGAGTGCTGAGAGAAATTATATGAATGAATGAATTCTATGAATGCATAAGGGGGAACCGAGTGTCTTCAGAAAAGTTTCGATGGCATTTTCTTTTCATCTTCCTCTTTATGTAATGCCTAATAAAGCAGTGTTTATTAGCGCAGCGCTGCTTTGTTTACAGCGGTTACAGAGAAACCGCTCTATTTCTGCTGTTTCACCTGCTGTCAGACAGTGGACTTACATTTTCATTCAGCCTGTCTGCCGTTTGTGTTCAGACCAATGCAAAAATTGGACCAAATTTTTGTTGTAAATCGGTGGATGGAAAGTAAGCTAATGTGCATTCAAAAAAAATCTCAACTCTTCAGATAATGAGGTAGCCAATGTAGAATTGTTTATGGAGCAGATAAAATGCTTATAATTTTTTCATTTCGATTTAGATGATAAAAGGCTGAAATGTAAGGTTTATCATTTTATAAAACTTTTTTTTTTTTAGTCAAAACTTTGCTTCAACATGTAGTACATGGGTAACACTTTAGAATAGGGAACACATATTCACTATTAACTAAGAGTTTTCTCTAAACAAACTCCTAATTTGCTGCTTATTAATAGTTAGTAAGGTAGTTGTTAGTTCAGGTATGGGCTGGATTTAGGGATCTAAAATACAGTCATGCAGAGTAAGGCATTAAGATGTGCTTTATAAGTACTAATAAACAGCCAAAATGCTAGTAATATGCATGCTAATAAGCAACTAGTTAATAGCGAGAATTGGTCCTTAAAATAAAGTGTTACCTAATTTTTTAATGTTAATGCAGACAAAAAGTGCATAGTGCTGCTTATGATATTTGTTGGTTTTCAACATAAAACTTGATGAAATGATTTCAGTGTGCGTATGATACATTTTTTTAACATTTCCAACAAATTTCAACAACACCGTGATAATATTGATAACCATGATCAATTTGGTCACTACAATGGAAACTTTCACACCGTTTCATCTCTACTTACCACATTTCTGTGCTCTGCATGCTTTGTCTTCTGTCAGTCCTGGAGTAACCCGATGGGTTTGTTCAGTTTCTCTGCAGACTCTGCTAAGGAGACGGCTGTGTGGCTGGAGCGTCTGAATGAAGTGATCCGCAGCGCTCTGTCCTACAGCGAGGTGGCTCATCGACTCTGGTCGAGTCCCTGTAATAAAGTTTGCGCCGACTGTGGCGCTGCCAACCCGGAGTGGGCGTCAGTGAACCTGCTGGTGGTCATCTGTGAGGCCTGCGCAGGCGCACATCGATCCATGAGCAGTAACAGGTCCAAAGTGCGAGGTCTCAAACTGGACAATAAGGTTTGGACAGAGCCTTTAATTCAGGTGAGTTCTGTCATGCCTGTGTCACATCCTGTCTTTATGCTATTATGTGACCAGTTTTATTTTCTACTTATTTTACAGTGGTCTGAAAAGTTGTGTTTTCAATATTAATATTTAAATAGCTTGGAAATTAATTAATTTTCATAAGCCTCAGCAACCTTCTTTTTCTCAGCAGCTTTGGCAGCTCCTTTAATTTTAGCATTATGGATTTTTGAGGTTTATATGAGGTGTGGCCTTTTCCTTTAATGACATTCTAATTCATACTAATACTAAATACATACTAAATTCATACTAATTTGCATGTTTTTTGACAAGAAAGTGACTTGTATATGTACAATAGTGTCCATGAATTTAAAAAGAAAAGACTTCAGTGGCGTTGCATTCTCTGCCTTTAATCTAACTTTGTTTTGTTTTTTATCAGAAAAACTAAATGACAAAAAAAGAATAAAAAAACACATCTAATGTTATTTTAGTATCTTTGAGTTACTATTATAGTTTTTGTAAATATTTTGAATTAGATTTTACTTTTATATTTTCTGATTTAATGTTGATTTTAAAGTAATTTTTTTACTAGTTTTTGTTGCTTCTAAATCTATATAGTTTTTGTTTCTTTTTATTAGAGTTTTAGCTTTAGTCATTTTAGTACATGAAGTCAAACTAAACGGTACTTGAAAACTAGCTGAAATAAAATAAGTTTAAGTTTGTTATATTTTATTTCAGTTAACATTTATTTTATAAGATAATGTTTTTATATCTAGTTTTAGCTGTAATTTTAGTTAACTATAATAACCCTGGTTCAAAATAATGTGTAGTATCATAAAAATAAAGTGTTTTAGGGTGTCATAATGTCTTTTTACTACCTTGCCACTGTCGCCTTTTGCTGAATTACACTATTGTGACATTTGTCTTTGAATTTGTTTCATAATTTGATGTCATTTGATGAACTTTACACTGTTATTGAACTGAACTGACTTGAGCTGAATTGTCTTCTGCTTTGTTGATCTGAATTTGCAACTTTGCAACGTCATTTGAATCAGCATTGAACTAAATTGAGCAGAATAATGACACTTTACAGCTGAAATTGTATTCGTTTGATAATTGAAAATTCTTTTTTCTTACCGTGAATCTGCTTTGAAACCGAAATGTAACAACCAATGCACACGTGTCATGTTTTCAGTTGTTTGTGCTGTATGGCAATAAAGCTGCCAGCAGGGTTTGGGGTCACAGCATCCCTCCGACGGAGCAGATCGTCCCAGACGTCTCTCCAGATCAGAGGCTGGAGTTTATCCTCGCCAAATACCACAAAGGACTGTACCGGAAAGCTCACCCGCTCGCCACAAGCCAGAAACTGCTTGACCAGGTCAGCATGTGATCAAAGCACCCTAGCAGCTGATTCGTTTCAGACCGATCCCATGCCGATGTGTTCTCTGGTGCTCCTCAGAGGCTGCGGGAGGTGGTTTGTGGTCCTAATGTGGAGGAGACGCTGTCTCTGCTGTGCTCTGGAGCCAGAGTTTCATGCAGCACCACAAATCCCGAGCTTCAGTCTGCCATCAGCGAGGCCGAGAGCGCTGGACAAGCCCTGCAGACTGAGCTACTCCGACATAATGAGTTTGTGGGTTAGTTGAGCTTTTTTCATGGCACATTTTAACTCCTTTTTGAACATGTCCAGGTCTTTTGAAGTCTATTTTTAAAGCCATCAGATAATTTGCATTCAGACATTTATATATATATATATATGTGTCCCTGGAGCACAAAAGCAGTCTAAAGTCACTGGGGTATATTTGTAGCAACAGCCAAAAATACATTGTATGGGTCAAAATTATAGATTTTTCTTTTATGCCAAAAATCATTAGGATATTAAGTAAAGATCATGTTCCATGAAGATATTTTGTAAATCTCCTACCGTAAATATATCAAAACTTAATGTTTGATTAGTAATATGCATTGCTACGAACTTCATTTGGACAACTTTAAAGATGATTTTCTCAATATTTTGATTTTTTTGCACCCTCAGATTCCAGATTTTCAAATAGTTGTATCTCGGCCAAATATTGTCCTATCCTAACAAACCATACATCAATGGAAAGATTATTTATTCAGCTTTCAGATGATGTATACATCTCAATTTCAAAAAATTGACCATTATGACTGGTTTTGTGCTCCAGGGTCACAGTATATATATATATATATACGTTCATTGTTAGGTCATGTCAATTCACAGTGCATTAACTAATGTTAACAAGCACAACTTTTGATTTTAATAATGCATTAGTAAATGTTGAAATTAACATTAGCTAAGATTAATAAATGCTGTAGAAGTGTTGTTCATTCTTAGTTCATGTTAACTAAAGTAGTTGACTAAGTATGTTAACTAATGAACCTTATTGTAAAGTGTTACCAAAATAATATAATATTAATGAACTAAAAGGCCACTTAAGTGTATATAAAGAGAGACACTTTCATGAATGTTTCTTAGCACACTTAAGTACACTTTAACAAGTGTGTTTTATAATAATGTCAGAGTTTTACTTTAAAGTACATTTTAAATCATAATCTTTTAATAATCTTTTATCATGCTCTAAAGAAGTGCACTGTATTTTGATGTGTTGTCTAACATACTAAAGCACATGCTAAGTACATGGTTTTTATTGATTTATTGACTCAATTGTAGCTTCATCATTACAAACGTGTCATTAGAATATAGATTTAAATATACAAATTTCATACAGAAATGACATTAAAGTATATTTTAGTCTACATACAATAGATGTAATTCTGAAATTACATATCTATTACATATAGTACTCAAGTCCTACTTAAGTGAGTTAAAAAATGATAAATAACATGCAATTAAGTGTGTGGAAAAATTGCATTCAGTTGGAATGTAAATATATTATTTTAAAGTATATTTTCATAAGTACTCTTTTTAAGAGTATGCTAAACTCTGCTTATTTTTTTAGGTGACCTGGGCATGTTTTAGTGCAATTGATTATTTTGTTCATTATCTAATATGTGTAATTGTTTTTGAGGATTGTTTTTAATCAATTTCTGTTCATTTTAATTCATCTGTTTTAAAGAGGCACCTGACTTTGAGCAAACAAGACATTCAGAGGAGCAGATAGGTGAGATGCACTGAGATGCCTGTCCTGTCGTTTTAGCAGACTACTTCGATTCAGATGACAGCGCTGGGTTTTCTTTGTCTTTTTCCACACGTGTAGAAGAGCTCCATGGAAAGCTGGATGAGGAGCGTTTCTTGTTCTCGCAGGAGAACGAGTCTGCAGCCTGTGATGTGCTGGATCTGACAGAGGTCATCTCAGTGTTTGACTGCTCTGCGGGGTAACAGCAAGACACCGTATCCGCTAAAGACATGACTTTCTTTACTATCTCAAAGTTAGGATCGCATTAATGCAGCCGTGCATTACAGATATTATCATATGTGACCCTGGACCACAAAACCAGTCTTAAGTGTCCATTTTTAGAAATTGAGATGTATGCATCATCTGAAAGCTGAATAAATCAGCTTTCCATTGATGTATGGTTTGTTAGGATCGGACAATATTTGGCTGAGATACATCTATTTGAAAATCTGGAATCTGAGCGTGCAAAAAAATCTAAATATTGAGAAAATCATCTTTAAAGTTGTCCAAATTAAGTTCTTAGCAATGCATATTACTAATCAAACATTAAGTTTTGATATATTTACGGTAGGAGATTTACAAAATATCTTCATGGAACATGATCTTTACTTCATATCCTAATGATTTTTGGCATAAAAGAAAAATTAATCATTTTGACCCATACACTCTTAAAAATAAAGGTGCTTCACGATGCCATAGAAGAACCTTTTTGTCTAAATGGTTCCATAAAGAACCTTTAACATCTGAAGAACCTTTCTGTTTCACAAAAGCTTCTTTGTGGTGAAATAAGGTTCTTGAGATTCTAAAAAGGTAAGAAAGAGATGGTTCTTTAAAGAACCTTTGACTGAATGCTTCTTTGTGGAACCAAAAATGGTTCTTCTATGGCATCGCTTGAAGAACCTTTTGAAGCACCTTTATTTTTAAGAGTGTTGAGTGTATTGTTGGCTATTGCTACAAATATCCCCCAGCGACTCAAGACTGCTTTTGTGCTCCAGGGTCACATATGGACAAACCTGTGTTTGCATGCATTGTGTATTTAAGGGCTATGAATTTAATGTGTTTGTTTAGTTCGTTATAAAAATAATGCAGTGTGAATGGTTTTAGTCTGATTGACGAAATAAATAGCTATGGACTGTAGCTCAGCACTGGCTTATGTTCAATGAGAATTTTTGTAATGTCTGCTTTCAATGATAATGTGCATTTGGGAGCTTTTTGCGGAAAATACTGATATTTTTGCGAAAATATCCCCAAAATCCCTTGTGAAAAAGAAGCACACTGTAGCATGCTTATAAAAAGATTGCGGTAATAATGTTTAAAATAATATACTTAAGTTTGGACTGAATGTATTGTTTTGGCCGTTTACAATTAAAACCCATTTAATCCCATCGGTCACAATAGTGACCATAAAGAAGGTTTTCATTTATAAAGCTCTAATAATGTTGCTGACTGCTGTTTTAGTGCATTTTCTGCAAATATGAAAATAATTATTGATTATTTCAAGGGGTTACTAATGACACATCATTTTGATATTTTCATGTCTGAGAAAAAATTGGGATTAAATGGGTTAAATTAAGTGTATTATATTTTACAGAGTGTTTTTTGACCCGCTTAAGTAGGACTAACATATATATTTACGTATGTAATTTCATAATTAGTTCTGTTGTCTTTGAAATATGATTATAGTGTACTGTGAATATACCGACAAGCATTTATGGTCTAAAATGTACTTATATGTCATCTATTTAAATCTATCTGTAATTACACTTTCATAATGATGAAGTTGCAATTTAGCACATTTAAAATATATTAACTTGAAATACTAAATAATCCACTACAATTCAAATTATAATCAAGTACTTTACGTGTGCTTTAGTATGTTAGTCAACACGGCAAAATAAGTGCAGCATGAGAAAAGATCATTAAAACATGTATTTAAAATGTATTTAAAGTAAAAAAAAGTATTTATTACAAAGTGCACTTTTTAAGAAAAACAGTCCTGAAAGTGTCTCTCTTTGAGTACACTTAAGTGGCATTTTATATCATCTGCAAGTACGTTTTTTTTTAAATATAGGCTACTTTAAGATTTGAAGTACACTACAAGTGCACATTCAATACAGTTCAGTGCACAGAAGAGAATACAGAAACCATTCTTTCAAGTTTCTCTTATTAATATTTTGCTGAGCAGAACATGCATTTTATTCTGGAAGTGTAATAATGCATACCATGTTGTCCATAGGCAAACCCATGAGTTTGAGGTGCTATCGCTGACAGACAGACTGATCTGCTGGGCAGACGGACGAGACGCTCTCCTCAGTCACATGCTGCATATCATGAAGGTAAAGCAGCATCTCTGAGTCTGTGCTAGTGGAAGCAGGTCAGCTGCAGCGGTGACTGACGAGAAGCTGCTGTGTGTAGATTGTGCTGGTGGGTGCCGTCGCGGATGAGGATCTGCTGGGGGTCTGTGCCGTGTCCAGAGCGTTCATACGGGAGGGTGCAGCGCTGCAGTGTGCAGAAGTGTGGTGCACCCTTCAGGACGGAGAGATGAGCATTCACACAAAGCACGGATGTGCAGACACAGTGACTCTGGACAGTCAGACACGCTGCCGTCAGTATCACATCCCACATCAGATCATCAAACACTGTCATAGGAATGTCCGTTAAACAAATATGTCTTCTCTATAGATCTGCAGCGCTCAGAGAACTGCATCCTGCTGGAGTTTCCTGGAAGGTCAGTGTCCTGTAGACTAAGAATTAGGTGGCTAATGTCCAGTGACTACTAAATTGTCCCTAGCAATCATTTTAATCAATCAATTAAATATGTGATCCTGCACCACAAAACCAAGATCATGTTCCATGAAGATATTTAGTAAATTTCCTACTGTAAATATATCAAAACTTAATTTTTGATTAGTAATATGCATTGCTAAGAACTTCTTTATGGAGGAATCGAAGTGGATCTATAAGTGATCAGTTTTTAGTGTTTGGTGAAAGTAAAGGTACATCTCTGAGCCTGTGACCAGCAGCAGTGTTTAATGCGGATCTGCTGCTGAACATCACATATGTGACCCTGGAGCACAGAACCAGTCATAAGGGTCAATTCTGTGAAATTGAGATTTATGCATCAGCTGAAAGCTGAATAAATAATATTTCCATTGATGTATGGTTTGTTAGGATCGGACAATATTTGGCTGAGATACAACTATTTGAAAATCTGGAATCTGAGGGTGCAAAAAAATCTAAATATTGAGAAAATCATCTTTAAAGTTGTCCAAATGAAGTTCTTAGCAATGCATATTACTAATCAAACATTAAGTTTTGATATATTTACAGTAGGAAATTTACAAAATATCTTCATGGAACATGATCTTTACTTAATATCCTAATGATTTTTGGCATAAAAGAAAAATCTATAATTTTGACCCATACAATGTATTGTTGGCTATTGCTACAAATATACCCCAGCGACTTAAGACTGCTTTTGTGCTCCAGGGTCACAAATGTGAAAGCATTTTTGGGTTCCCTCACTAATGGCTGAACGCTTGTGTTTGCTGCAGGACGTTGCAAATGCAGTTTGAGCTGGAGCACAGCTGTCTGCAGTGGCATGAGCTCGTGCAGAAGGCCATGTGCTCGAGCACAGATGCACAACAGCGCTCAGGATCTGTGCCCTGCTCTGTAGACAGGTGTATCTCTCACATCACACAGTACGGTGAGTCACGACCTGTCCTGGACCAAAACAGCACTGAATACATGCAACTTCTGTTCGGATCATTTCAATAGAGTAAAACCCTGGTGCCTTACTGCTTAAATAGACCACTTAAGTGTAATTAAAGAGAGCACACTAAAGTACACTTACAAAAATTGCAGTTTGTAATGTCACAAGTTTTAAAGTACATTTTAAATCATTATGCTTTAAATTAATAATCTTTTGTTGTGCTTTAAAGTACACTTATTTTATATAGTTTAATAACATACTTAAGCACATGTAAAGTACTTAATTATTAGATGTTATTTGATATTACATTTAATATATTTTGAATGTACTAAATTGTAACTTCATTATAAATGTGTACTTATAATATACAAGTTTCAATAGAAATGACATTAAAGTATCTTTTAGTTTATCATGAATGCTTGTCAGTAAATTCACAGTAACACTTTAACAGTATTACAAAGACAATAGACATAATTGTGAAATTACATAAAAAGATGTACTGAAGTGGGTCAAAAAGCACTCTTACGTTCAACTAACTGCATTTAATATAAATCTAAACTATACTACATTTTCATTTAATTTTAAATAACATGCAGTTAAATACCTACTTATATATATTCTTTTCAATTATATTATTACCGTAATACGTACTCTTTATGAAAGTATGCTTAAGTATACAAATTTTTCATTAGGGATTACGTTACAAAAAAATAGGACAAAATTTAAACAAAACATTATTCTATGAAGTAAATTCATGAAATGCAGTCTCTCCTTTAGAGAGAAGCTGACTAAGATCAAACATTGAATTGTTTCACATCATAGCTGGTACTGTAGTGTGTGTTTTTGACCAATCAGCATCCAGGACCACATATTAAAGCTTGAAATATATTCTAGAATGTCCCGTTTTTAGAAAAACGTATCTTTTAAAGAGAATTGCTGTGTCTGTTTCAGGGTTGAAGGTGGAAGGTTTGTATCGGCGCTGTGGAGTCGCTCCTCAGATCAGTAAGCTGGTCGATGCTCTGAGCGTTTCTCCCAGAGGAACGCGTCTGGAAACAGACGAGCTCTCCATCCTGGACATTTCAGGAGCTCTGAAACAGATCCTGCGGCAGAGCTTTGAGATCATACCGAACGCACACAGACCGCACTGGCTGAAAGCTGCAGGTACGTCTGTTCTCAGCCATCATTACTCTATAAAACACAGCTTTGCATTGCACATCAAGATCTATGCACTGGTTCTATCTGTTTGCTCTCTAAAGTCGCTGCTCGTGTGCTAAAGTTTTCTAAAATGTGTCCCTGCAGCACAAAAACAGTGTTAAGTCGCTGGGGTATATTTGTAGCAATAGCCAACAATACATCGTATGGGTCAAAATTATAGATTTTTATTTTATGCCAAAAATCATTAGGATATTAATTAAATATTTAGGATATTTTGTAAATTTCCTACTGTAAACATATCAAAACTTAATTTTTGATTAGTAATATGCATTGCTAAGAACTTCATTTGGACAACTTTAAAGATGATTTTCTCAATATTTTTATTTTTTTGTACCCTCAGATTCCAGATTTTCAAATAGTTGTATCTCAGCCAAATATTGTCTGATCCTAACAAACCATACATCAATGGAAAGCTGATTCATTCAGATTTCATATGATGTATAAATCTCAATTTTGAAAAATTGACCCTTATGACTGGTGTTGTGCTCCAGGGTCACAAATGTTCATTGGGCATGGCCATATCGAATCACTACCATCAATCTCCCGCTCTCATGATGTGAATCTTTACACTGTATTTGCTCAAGCTTTTTCTTGAATACTCAAAGAATTGTCATGCATGCATAAATGGCATGTTAAATATAAAGACTGTTGTGCATTGATGTATAGTTGTCTCCACAGCTCTGTCAAATGAAGAACAGAGACTGCAGATGTACCGCAAACTGCTTAAACAGCTTCCTCCAGACAACCACGCTACACTGGCCGCTCTGTGTGGACACCTGCACACGTATGACAACAATATACAGATAGAAATCCAGATACTGACTTATTAACACTCAATCTGTAGTTGTGAATATTTCTAAATCCCAATAAATGAATGAAAGTCTTAATGTCCAAATTTCACATATTAAGAGACTTTTTATGCATGTAGTCAAGTCTTACAAACATACACTTTTTTTTTATAAAAAAAAAAATAGACACGCTTTGTGTATACACTCCCGGTCAAATGTTTGGAATAATTCAGATTTTTAAATGTTTTCAAAAGAATCTTTTGCTCACCAAGGATGCATTTAGCTGCACTTATTTTGTTTAATTGCATATGTTCTTTTGAAGGTTCTGTTCATCAAAGAAAAAAAATGATCAGTTTCCACAAAAATATTGAGCAGAAAAAATAAGAAGAAGAACCATTATTAACAACTGATCATCAATAATAATTAAGCAGCTAATCAGTATATGGATTTCTGAAAATCATGTGTCACTGAAGACTGGGGTAATGATGCTGAAAATACAGCTTTGATCTCAGGAATAAATTATATTTTACAATATATTCAAACAGAAAATTTTTATTTTAAACTGTAATAATATTTCACAATTATTACTGTTTTACTGTATTTTTAATCAAATAAATGCAGCGTTGATGAGAAGGGACTTCTTTCAAAAACATGAAACAAATCTTAATTATTCCAGATTTCTGACCAGTAAATTGCATGTAGACTGATGTGGGAAAAAAAAAAAAAAATTATAAAAAATTATATATATATATATTTTTTTTTGGTAACACTTTATTTTAAGGTGTCCTTGTTAAACATGTTACATGTACTTACTATTATAATAATTAATTCTGCATATATACACACACAATGGATTCAGAAAGTATTCAGAGCCTTTTGTTATGTTGAGTTATGAATCATATGTATCTATCTGCTGCTGTCAGTGTTCAGATGCACAGTCAGGAGAACCGCATGACGGCTCATAATCTGGCCGTGATATTTGTGGTCACGCTGTTCCAGGAGCTCGCCATGAACGCAGCCTTGATGCAGCTAACCAAAGAGCTGATCGTACGTCACACGGAGATCTTCATGGTGAGCCTGCACACTTAGAATAAATCTCAGTGTGTTGTATTAGAAATGATTGTGTCATCTGGCATTGTGTGCAGAATCACGTGGAGACAGATGGAGAAATCATCACTGTATTGTGAAGAGCTCATCAGCGTCTCTATTTACTGACGCAATACGAATGACTGTAATAACACTATAGAAAGAACAATTCAGCCGAAAAAAAAAAAGAGTTTACTCACCCTCAGGTCATCCGAGATGAAGAGGAGTTTGGAGATTTGGAGAAATGTAGCATTGCATCAGTGTCTCAGCAATGGATGCTCTGCAGTGAATGGGTGCCGTCAGAATGAGAGTCCAAACAGCTGATAAAAATACTATGGAAGTCAATGGCTACCAGCAGCTGTTTGGTTACCCACTTTAATGTCAATATATTAACAGCTCATATGGTACTTGTATAATGAAGAGCAGAATGACAGACTGCATTCCGGAGAGTGTATTATGCTTTATTGTTAATCAAGACTTACATTGCATTTGTATTTATGAATAAATGCGTTGAAACAGGAATTGAGCATGTGCATTTGATCATATCACAAGATGTGATTATTTCCAGAAGGACAAAGCAGTATCCTTAGATATCCAAGGAGCTTTGGAATAAAACAGTCAAACACTTATAAGTCGGGATAAAGGATAATTATTTAGTTTCTAGAAGCTCTGGTGTCACAACTGCATCTAATTCTCAAACACACTGCCAAAAAACTTTTTGGGATTAACAGTAAAATAATACAACATCTTTTCACATTCTTTCTCTACCAATGTATTAATGAAGAATCACAAAACAACACATTTACTGTTTATACATGTGCATCACATACATGCGGATAGAAGGATTCCTTGAAGCTTTAATATTTGGGCCGTTTTACATTCACCCTGTATTAGAGAAGAAACAGAAGATCACAGATCATGAACACACACACTATACCACATTTCAAAATACACACACCAAATGTTTATCCAATCATAACACTGCTACGTCACACTAGAAGCCAAAATGCCCAATTCCCATTATCTGCTCAAATCGAGTGTATTTTTGATGTTAAATACAATCACATTTTCAAAGTTGCCCATATAAGACCATATCTGATGCAATTCTGTTGCTGAACAAGAAATGTAAGTTTCAATGTAAAGTCAATCCCAAACCATGGCGATGGATTGACTTTAACTAGATAATCAAAAACACCCATGCTAGCAGTTTCATCAGGCTGGTGGTGGCTGTTTTTGAGCAATGCAATATTAGACATCAGAGATGTTGATTAATAATAAATTGCACTGATATGTTGATGCTCACACATCCCCGTCTCAGCGTGTTATTAACAGCTGGGGCCACTTGCATAAACTTAGCCTCTAAACTAAGACTAGTCTGACCAACTAGCAGTTACCAATGGGTAATGAGTCGTATTTTTCAGATTTAAATTAGACCGATCTACATTTTTACGCAACCAACTTGAAAGACTAATCTAAGCGTTTTACCACTGCAAAAACTACTGGCCTAACTAATTTAAAGTTCAAACATTATAAAAGTAAACAGTAAGAATAAAAATAAATAAGCAACAGCACAAGTAAATACAACAGAACAAAGATGTAAATAAATAAAACAGCACATGAAGTTTCTAGTATTCAGGTACAGAAACTGAATAATCAAATGTAAAACAAATTAAATAAAGATTAATCCTTCTTAAGCGTTTTACCACTGCAAAAACTACTGGCCTAACTAATTTAAAGTTCAAACATTATAAAAGTAAACAGTAAGAATAAAAATAAATAAGCAACAGCACAAGTAAATACAACAGAACAAAGATGTAAATAAATAAAACTGCACATGAAGTTTCTAGTATTCAGGTACAGAAACTGAATAATCAAATGTAAAACAAATGAAATAAAGATTAATCCTTCTTAAAGCTACAACAGTTGTTTAGTCTTTTACTTTTTGTTGTTTGATTAACATTAATGACAGACAGCAGCAGGTATATAAGGCTGCTGTCACTTTAAGACTGAATGCACGGATCCAATATAATGAAACGCATCCCATTTCTTCCTCAACTGTTTGTTCATTTAAGATATAACTATGTTAATGAGGATACTTGCCAAGACGGGTATTTTAACAATTTTGTGTACATTTGCCATACAAGAGCAAGAGAACTTAAATCGGACGAACAGTTAGATTTGTGATATTCAGTAGACATTTGTGATATTTCAAAAAAACAAAAACAAAACAATGACAGGGTTCACAACCTGTTTACCTCTTTCCTCGCTATTGACGGAATTTTCCAGCTTTCCGTGTTTTCACTGATATACAGTAGGAGGCGCTATTATGTATCTTCTGAAGCAGTACTGAACGTTTGGATCAAAACACGGCGAGGAAGAAGCAGAAACAAGCGATCGCGTATGTAAGCAGATGCATATGTAAAAACGCGATCGTCAAGCATTAAACCGCATATAAATCAAAACTACCTAATGTTACCGAATAAAATGTAGATCCAAGAAGTGGTTTAGGACTGTGCAGCTTTGGGGGTGTCGATGGAAGCGCTCGACTCCATCTATGTTTTGATCATCGTTCTGAATACATAGTCTTTGACAAAAATGCGACTTTCTCAGCTCTTTGTTCAAAATGTTGCTTTTTTATGAAACGTACCCACATTCAAGTGTTGATAAAAAAAGGTTGCATGAAGCTAGAATAAAACTTTGTTTTGTTTAAAAGCAGAGGCTCTGTTCTGTTTTGACATATTGCATGTTCAGATACTCATACAAAAAATATTCTGGGGGCCGTGAAATTTTTGTGAGAATGAACAAAAATGCTGGTGGTGGCTGGCAACTTTTTAAAAAGAACTTCAATTATAAAACCACATCTTGGTAAGATATAAGTCAACAAGTTTTTTTTTTTTTTATATCTAACAATACATTTGTATCTTCTGTGTGCGCTTTGTGTGTGCCTCAGACTGCGAGAGTACTGAATTAAGTTCTCTTTCGCATCTTCTTGTGCTTGAATGGTGTAAAAATCACTCGAATGTTTTAATTAGCAAGACTTTTCCAAATGCTAAACTTTTGTGGTGACGTAGCACTGACCCGATTTAGGATTTTTAGGATATTTTTAGAGCTCAGGAGAGACTGAAGAAGAGAGAAACACCAGCACCACTCACCCATCAGCCTCCATCTTCTTTCTCTTCTCAATGATCTGAAATAAACAGAGACAGTGTGAACTGAATGTGACACCATCATCATCATTAAACATCTGTTTGCAGCTCATGTGGGTCATAGGGGTGTGCGATATTGACCAAAAATATGATGCATTGATATTTATTGGGATTTCTTCAATAACAATATTTTGCTGAGTGTGTTTTTGCGTTGATACTTTGCTGGTTTAGGCCGGTCATGGATAAATATGACATTAAAACCACCAGTAGGTGGCAGCAAGTCCCTGTCTTAATGAGTGATTCATTGAATCATTAATTCAAACGATTCCTTCAAAACACCCGATTCATTTAGAAACGAAGCAAATGGCTGTCTTTACCACATATGATTTGTTAAAAAGCAGATCCATTCAGGAACGAAACACCGCAGTGTTGCTCTGAGACACACAAATAATCTGCTCCGGCTTTGTTCTGAACTATTTTCATTGTCGAAACAGAAAAAAACTGAAACTATTGGGTCTAAAATGTAACTCACTCAACATTAACTTCTTGTTTGTTGAACTGTTGTATAAAACTAATATTACATTTGCAGTCGCTCTCACACACTGATATTTAGGAAAACGGCACTCATGCATGTGATATATTGCTTAACTGTATCATATCTTATAAATATAAAAAACAAAACCCATACAGGGATATTTTTAGCTTTCATTACTTGAATTACAGGGTCATTCTGACTGCATTCGGATCGACTTCTGAATGCTTTTGCACTCTCAAGATGTGTTTTTGTTTGTTTTTTGCAAAGTGAGTGACATACTCAATAAAATCAACTCGCACATCGCTCAAATTACGATATTATCACCTATGATAAATATCACACACCCCTAGTTGGTCATTGTTCATCCAGCGTTTTATTTCAAATTCAGTTGCAGACGAGAGCCTGTAAACTCACAGCGCTGATTTTCTTCCACTGTCGGTCTAACTCAGCCTTCTCGTTGGTTTCTTTAAAGCGCCGAGTCTTTCGGCCCTCAGACATTTTGATGCCGTACTGGAAGGCAGCCCTACAAAAACACCATCATTACCATGATTAAAGTGAACACACAACCTCAAAGTGAACTCAGAAAGTAGAGTCTGTGTTACTTGGGAAGCGCCTCCTTCTTGTTCATGTAGTCGCTGTACTCCTCTTGCGTGTCGAAGTCCCAGCGGCCTAAAGGACCCTTCTTATTACCCTAGAGACAGACACACACGTGAACACACCTGACCAGAGACACACGGAGACATTTCTCCATTACAACTCAGAATCACTCATGCCTGGTCCATCTTGCTGTAGTCCACCTCTTCATCACTGTCCACAGCCAGATCATCCATTCTACAAAACACAAGCAAACATGTCCAAACTCAACATCATCAGCATCTTCAACTGTAGACGACAAAAGAAGACGCGGCGGCGTGACTCACGTGGCAGGGTAGCATTCGGCGTAACTGTTTGACATCCCAAAGAAATCCCCAAGATGCTTCTTCTCTTCACGTCTGCTTCCAGTGCTCACAGTTAAAGAAACAAATGCATTTAAGCAGCCATTTCATCATTTGAGATGCAACTTGAGGTCATTCATCTATACACTAGAGCTGCCCTTTAACAGTTGACTAATTGCGACTAAGTGTAACAAAATTTTGTTAGTCGGTTAGTCGCAGGAAAAAAAGGTGGTAAATACAGCAGGTATATCTGGCAGGAAATCCAAACGCTCGCCTATTATTCATCAACCTCAAATATGTGACCCTGGAGCACAAAAGCAGTCTGAAGTCGCTGGGGTATATTTGTAGCAATAGCCAACAATACATCGTATGGGTCAAAATTATCCATCTTTCTTTCATGCCAAAAATCATTAGGATATTAAGTAAAGATCATGTTCCATGAAGATATGTTGTAAATTTCCTACCATAAATATATCAAAACTTAATTTTTGATTC